CATACGATATACAATATATGAATAAGAATTTTCTTGCTCTTTGATAAAGAACGATTTCTTTGGATTTAATACTTGACGAAAAATATGAACAAGAGAGGTACAAATTAGTTGAAAAGAAAAATATGAATATAAATCTTGATTAAGAAAAAAACTGTTTATGATGTCGAATGGTATTGAATTAAAAAGTATAGCAATAAATTTGTAAAAACATCAATAACTTTAAACGTAAAATTAATTTAAAATAAAAGTGAACGTTACACACTCTCTCTTAAGAATACAAAAATAATTATATTAAAATAAAGTTAAAAATTTCACACTTCTTTTTATTTTTCTTGTTAATAGAGAAATTGTTTTAGGCAATGTTCTTTTATTTTATTTACATTATTACCCGTTGAACAGTAATGCTCTTCAGAAAAATATAGCGGAAATTTGTTTTAATTTAATTTATACATTATCTATAATGTTCTAAAGATTATAAATTGCGTGGCAACTTTTATAAACATTTCTGTGCAACACTGATTCGCTGGAGTAGAGAATTGATTGTATATCAGGGAGAGAATCTCACGGCTACCTTTGTATTCTCCGAGTAAGCTGTCCAAGTGAGTGACAATAAATAAATGATTTTCCCGGCGACATTTCACGCGCGAGCGACTCACGCAATTAGAATTCGCTCCGGTCTTCGGTCTTACAATTTATCGCTCCTGCAATCCGTACAAAAATGCCGGCGACCCAATTCTGAACTAAGGATTCCTACAAATCGCAGCGCTATATATTCCTCATATCGATCCCCCGCAATACGCAGACCCGATAAATTTTCCGCGAGATCCGTTCTAATGCGATCGGCGACGAGTTCACCGCAGCTTCATATATTCATGTTACAAGACGAGATACGAACAGGTGAACGCATACACACACATATATATATATATATATATATATACGGTCGTCATATTAGCTTTTCTCTGCCGCAGAGAAACTCTGCGCAAATATAAAGCTAACCTCTAGATTCGCATTTTTGAAACAAATATAAAATCTTTTTACGTCGTACATTTTTTTAAACTGCAGAATATCATCTCGTACATCTCGACCACACTTTGCCTGGGCAAGTTTAAAAATTAGCTGAAAATTGGCTGAGCGTTCATTCGTTGCGAAAATTCGAAGTCAATTTCCATTAGAAAAACCCCCTTTTAGCGCTTCAGATAAAACGGAATTCCGCGAAGGAGCTTTTAAGATCATTTCATATGCCGTTTTACATGTCGATCTCTGTACTTCTTGTTAAGCAGTGCACATTCTCCACCAGTGTATTTGACGCCTGACCTATTTTGCGCGAAAAGCGTAGCCGGCGCGGCTGCATGACCGCCATCAGTGGTCCGAGTCCTGAATAAATAAACCGTGTCACGTGGCGGTGGGCCACCTTATCCTTCCTTTTATCTTGCTGTTCTTCCACACCGGCTCTATCTCGTAATTAATTTCGTGGATATATACAGCAGCCTGGAGGTTAGCGGCCTTTATACAGAGAGAGAGAGAGAGAGAGAGAGGGGGGGGGGGGAGACGGAAATTCTCGTGCAATCGTTTAAGACGCGCGATTCGTACCGAAAAATACTTTGAATGTAAATTCGGTGGCCCATTTGCAAATTGCTCGACGGTCCTTCCACGGCTTTTCGTTAATGCGCGTGGCTAATGGATTTGGATTAGGATACCGCCTAAAGTATTTACACTATTACGCAGAGTACCTCAGAAATCGGCTATTTATTTTAAGTCGCAAATACTGGAAGCTACTTAAAAAAGAACGGGAGCAATGGGATGTCTCTCGCTATAAAATTTGAATTTGAACGAAGGTATTTTTATTCTGCAGTGAGTAAAATCTTCCTAAAACGATTAGTTAATTATTAGTTAATCTCCAATTGATTGGGACTAAATTATGAAATAACCAATCAATACAGAGTTCTCTCTTGAGCTTGAAGCATAATTATTAAGGCGGTACTTGTTGCTACGCGAAATAAGAAATTTAATCCGAGAAATTTAGCGCTAGTGCAAACTCGATTCGAGCTCTCGGTGTATTATACTGTTTTGATCTTCACGAGGCAAACGCGCGCGTGTTAAAATCTTCTCACTCTTACCTAAGGACAACTCACTCTTCTCTAATTTGTCGAGTTCGGGCTTAATAGGAGTGCCGGCTTTAGATACATCCTCGAACGACATCTTTTGATGTGATCCTCCCTTGTATATAAAGCGACATATATATTTGCGATAATGTATACAGTGCATCTCGCATCCGCGAGAGAGCGGTATATATTTATGTATTGAATAAGGTATTAACATAAAACTGAATAAGTAAGAAACAGAGTACGATAAGAACATTTTGTAAAAATCCAACGCAGCACGAACTGCTTTGATGCAAAAGGAAAAAAAAAAATTTGTTGCAAGTATCAAAAATAAATGCTATATTTTAGTGTCGTCTCGTAAATTAAATTTATTTTCTTATCGCGTGATAAAATTAAAATTTTTCTTTTTTTATGCTGGATCAAAGCGCTTTGATTTAACGATACTTAAATCGCGATAGAATATTTAGAATTTAGATAAAGTTTTCACGTTTTCTTGTCATGCACTTCGGATCGTCGTGATCGTCCCGTAAGATCGATATTCTCTAATGGCCGCTATGTTCTTGCCTCGCAGCGGAAACTACAAGGGCCGTCTGGGCTTGCCCTACGTGACCGGGAAGCCGTGCAGCATGTGCAAGGACCACTGCACGCAGGACGCGCTCTGCACGAACGCCTGTTACCATACCGATCTGTGGTCGAACTGCGCCGAGCTGGTCAGGACGTTCGGCTCGTGGGTCTGCGAGACGGACACCAAGGAGGGCCACGAACGCCGGAAGTTCTGCGGCGCCACGTGCAACTGCAAGGACAAGATCTACTACCATCACCAAGGGTAGGAGGGCTCCTTGGCTTCCGCGTTTGGGTCCACCGTGTTGCATGAATAATTTAATCGCCCTGCAAAACTAAACTCAGACCTGGTGGGTGTGACGACGGCTAAACGGCGGCAGATCGTTTAAACGGGGGGAGGGGAGGAGGAAGGGATCGTGTTGTTTTATTGATGAGCTCGTTTGTTTAGTGATGAGAGCTAGGAGGAACGCTCGCGACGTTTCGAGCTAGGGCACCGAAGGAGGGTGAGCGAGTAAACGGGATAATATGGAAATATGGTAGATGAAGTGATTGTGGGATTTGTGTGTTATCTGGATCTCTGGGACCTAGATTTTGCGGATTCTAGGGATCGCCCAAAATCTAATAGATCAATAGACTCTGTGCCGCGATTTAACGATTACAGACCGCACATAATCTTTCGAATTCAGATCCCAGAGATTCCAAAATATGATTCTTGTTGTAATATAATCCTTGAATTCTAGGACTCTGAATTTTACAATCCACGAATGTTCCGGATCCTTTGATCCTTCGTTTCACGAATTGCCGGTGTAAAATTCGCGTCTGTCTTTTACAATTTTCGCAAAAATCACATTTCCCGCAAAGTTTTACGCAAAGTAATGCATTCGTAAAAAAAATATATAATTTTTAATGCACTAAAGTATTATTATTTTAACTTGTTTGTGTACTCGCTTCTTCTAGTTACATAAGAACAGATCGAAAACAGAGAAGTTTAAATGGAAATGAATTAATTTTTTAGATGAGCGTGTCGTCTTAACATCGGGACGAAAACATATTATATTTTATGTCTATATATTTCACATGTTTAAAGATTGATATAGTTTAATGTAATTAACATACACGCACACGTATATGTACGCGGGAGAATAAAGTTCCAGGACTGGGTTTGACAAGTTTTTGATATACACTTATCTTTATTAATTATTCTTTAATCTGTTTACTCTTTGAAAAGATAGATTTTTTAGTTATTATGTATATTAGACATACACAGGATAATTCAGAACTGCCATCCTTTTATATCTTTTGAATACCTATCAGGCAAATAATTTCTGAAAATCACTCTTGTGTTTTATATCGTTCAAGGCTATCAATCATCTGTACGTATCCGAAAGAAATAATAAAGGCCAACTCTACTTTTTAAGTTCGTTCATAATTATTTTCACATTTTTTGTGTTCTTATAAACTTACGTAAAGCAAAGCTTAAAACAGATTTTATCAGTTTAATGTGGTTGCCTGCTGCGCGCGTATTATATTTTTAGCTTTAAATGTTTACTGCAGTATAAAATAATCTGCATGAAATTAATTAAAAGGATAACCAAGGAACTCATTTAAATTTTATTTTGTAAATCTAATCTTAATGTGGAATCTTGTCATTATACGTTTTTCGTCCGAGATTCTTTTTTGTCCAAAACGATAACTTTTAAATATCATAAAAATTGTAAATAAATCCGGTGGGTAACATATCGAAATTGACAATTATTAGACGATATACGTAACTTCTAATTATTTTAGCTAACTTGCTAAGAGGAACAATGTAAAAATTAAACTAAGCTTCCGAGGAAACGGTGTGTCGGTGTTTCTTGTCGTGGTGTAACGATGGAACTTCCCTTTGTTAGCAATTAATAATAACGATAACAGTTATTTTTATCTTAGATTTAACAACAGCGTGTTCACGCGATATCGCGCAGATGAAAGCAAGCTGGAATTGTAAAGTTAACTCTTTACCGCATAATTTAACAATATTAAGAATATATTTTGAATGATCAACGCGATGCGTTTAATCTAGAGGGACATAATTCTCTTTTCTCGCAAAAAGATTTGCGAAGACACATATCGCGCGTTATTAATATTGTCTTCGTAATGATGCGATGCGTTTATTATGCAAAACGCGAATTTTCGGCCAAATTATAAATAAGTAAAGATTTATAGCGATAAAAATACAAAGAATTTTTATCGAGTAAAAAAAAATGTTTTAATAAAATATTACAAATATTTTGTATAAATAAATAACCTATTTGATTATTGTAAAAAGTAATTTGTTAAATATCGCTCGATTTATGGGCGATTATAACAGTTGAGGGAAAATCATTGTTGTTATTTTTATAGAAACCGAACAATCTCGTTGTTCAATCACATTGTGAAATACATGCCGTAATGATGCGGTAAAGAGTTAAGACAAATCGTAAATTCTTAAGACATAATCAGTAATATGGGTCGTGAAACAACACGTGTGACGAATGGCGAAGCGTGATTGATGAATAATGTTAGATACTTGATTGTCGATAATTAAAGGAGTTCGCTAAAGAGATATAACAGTGAATGTAACGGTACAGCCTCCAAATAAAATGTTTAAACTGTAATACTTTTTTGTCCACTTACACAATAAATATCCTGTAAATATTACATTACTCTGGCTTTCATTATTTACTTAACCATATATTTGAATCCTCCGCCCCTCGATATTTGTTTCACAAAATCACAAAGCGTTTGAATAATTTACAGTTGTAATATTGAAATAATAAAACTTATTAATATTTAATAAACGCACGCGGGGGAAATTCTTGGCAGCCGCGTAATATCGAGAGATTTTAAGCACCTCTTTAGTAGTCTAATAAATTAACGTATACCGTTAAATTTTGACAAAGCGTAACCGTATACGCTAGATCGGAGAATGAACGCATTCGTTGGTGCGGTTGCGGGTGCGTTTAATCGCACCGTAATATTTATTTGTTACCAGGAAATCGAAGGATTAAGCGGAATTATGTGGCGAATAAATCGATGAGAGCTTCAAGCGCAAAGAAAGAGAGTGAGAGAGAGAGAGAGAGAGAGAGAGAGAGAGAGAGAGACACAGAGGGGGAAGGAAATCATCCCCTAGGTCAAGAGGAATGGTGCAGTCGGTGAATTCGAGTTAGTGGCGAACCGAGTGCACAGTCTTTTTGCTTCAAAGGGCTTAGGAATGCTTTTCAAACTGTGTCCGGGAACCGACAAAATGGCGCTACTGCGAACTTCGCCAGACTTTCAAATGAAGTGCACTGCGTTGAGATTTTCTTACGTCAAATTTCGTGGGTATATGTATACATATATCGGTGCAGTCATCGATTTTTGTCGATTCTCTCGTTAATTCTTTTCGTTTAAACGTAAATATAACGGCATAAGTAATTTTTATGCGTCCCTAGCAGCACAAATTATTGATGCAATATTGGTTACAAATTGCCTCTCAACATTGATTTGCGTTTGTAAAATAGACGCTTTGAGTTTTATATTGGCAATGCATTTGCATTTAATTTATAGCTAATATTGACTTTATATTGGGAAACGGCTATATATAATATCCACATAGCATACTGATATGTAATCAATGTTTTGTCAATGAATTGTGCACTAAAGATGTTTCATTACTACTGATTTAGCCTTTTAAATTCCAAAATTCTTACATTATATCCAAAAACAAAGAAGAAATCCGAGTTTATTAATACCAAGATCAACAAAAAGAAGATAATTAACAGGCGCTAAAATCTAATTTAGACATATTATCAGCGAAGGAATTAAAAAATCAAATAAACAAGTTTTTAACAAGGATACGTATAGCACCGGAGTACCAAATAATGCATTATTTTGAGAATCCGTATATCAGTTGGACCGAAATCGGTCGCTCAGAACGATACAGCCATCAATTTCCGGCGTGGTATCAAAAGGCAGGAGCGAGAATCGATTTGGCCGTCGAGCGGGCCCCGCCAAGTGGAATAATATCCGTTCGTCGCGGAATTGGGCCGATTCGTCGTCCGTGGACTGACGACTTGCGGCAAAGCCGAAAGGCCCGTCGACACGGGATTCCTTTGAACGTACCCGTTCGGAAAGCCCGGCAAGGACCGAATGGCAGCGCCATTCCGTCGCCGATAATGCCGCCTGCACGCGCTTTCGTCAAAGATCGGTGATCGCATTGTCGTGAACGAGCAATTTCCTTCCGTACGTCTTTCGAGGGTTTCTACCGAGAGAAGGACCGATTGAAATCGGCCAGTCGAAGCGGAAGATTCGTTCGCTGAATTTAATCCTTTTTGTAGTTCTCTGAATTCTAAGGTGTAAGGGTGCCCGGGCAGAGGCGGGGGAGAGGAGAAAGAGGAGGAGGGAGAGGGGGACGGCGAGTGCCGTGGATATAATGTAGGAAGATCTAAAAGAGCACGAAAGGAGAAGCTAGCAAGTTTTATTTTACAAATTAATTTCAAGCTCGCGGAATAATTTTCTTGTCAAGTATCTTGCATGCATAATTACGTTGTTTTGCTGCATAATATGTATAACAATATCGAACATCAAATGTTTTTTATACTTTAATAAATACTTTAATGAATAAAGGAAGACTAAATTAAAAACTAACTTAACTAAAATAAAAACAAGTTATTCCAATATCGGAATGTTGATAGAAATTAACTTAATATCAAAAACTATTATAGCAAATTAAATGTTTCATAATGTAAATACATTTTGTTTTTCAATTTAATGTTAAGCAGATTTTGCTTTAGCAGCAACGTTACTTAAATTGCATTATTCAGATCTATTGTAAGAATTTCAAGCTCTAGTGTGCAAAATTAAAAATGTCACTTTCCGCGACATAGTGAAATGCGGATAATAAAGGAAAAATTTTAGATGTGTAAATATCGTCAAACACTCGCAATACAAAAGAACGTTGCGAATTATTCCGAATCCTGGCGATGTATTGAACAGTGCAATAGGCTTGTGACATACGTGATTTAGCGTATGTAATTTGCAATGGTTTCGCTAAAGCAGGTGTGGTAGAGGGTTGATTTATGAACACATTAACTATACTCGGGGCGCTATCATTAGTTGATTGATAGCCAGTAATTAGACTGTAAAGTAGCCACGAGTTTCAGTTCTAATTACTTAGAAATCTAACGAAATTCCCACGCCAACAGTGATACGTTGAGCATTTTCGAAATTCCACGTCGACAAATTGATCTATGAGCAAAATTAAATTATAATCTCGTTTTATTTTATTAAAATTATTAAAAAATTTATCGACAATTTGTTACTAATCTATTTTAATGCAGCATGTTTTCACTGTTTGACTATAAGCAGTGAAAGTATTTCATTTTTTATTATGCAAAACTTAAAATAACTTTTCCTTTCGTCAATAAAATTAATATTGATATTTTAATCAAAAATTGAAGCTGTACTTCTTGATTTCTGTAATACTTATTATTTGTTATTAGCAGAACTAATAACAAGTCGCATTTTGTTGGATTTCATATTAATAACAAGAGAATATTCCGCGTTTCATTAACAAATAAGGATAATACTTTTTACACAATACAATGTTTCCGGTCCCATATTGCATAACATCATTCAATTACTCAATGTCCAAATATTATATGAACCGTGTTTTCTTTACAATGCGCGTTTTCGATGTTTATGCAATACATATGAAAATGTTTACACCATCGTAAATAATTGATCGGAGTGGAGAGCACGCAATTATTTGAAATTTCACGCAATTGCGCCTGGCACGCCCCGATTTGTTATGTTAATTGAATTCCTTGAGAGAAACTGGAACGTTAAATTTTATCGAATACCCGGGCATCTCGAGCATCAGATCGATAGCCCGCACGAGCAGTTTTGTTCTTATTTCTGACTGCTGTAGAAGTGCATTTATCAGGAGCCCGTTTATCGGAGGAATAAAGTGAAATTTCGAAAAAGAGATCCTCAGTTTGGTACATTTATGATGCTGGAATTCGTTCGCGTTATAAGTCCCCAGTTCTCCTACACACACGCGGTACACAAAGAAAGTACACCTCTCCCCGCATCTTGTTTGAGATAATTCTATGTACGCTAAAGAAAACGTTATTGGGAATATTTATTGTTTTGAAATACATCGTTTTCATCTTTCTTTCTTGTTATGCAGTAAAGATGAAATGGAGAACGCGCGTGTGCCAATATGTTTTCTCTTTATACAAAATTATCCCGAAACGAATGGAGTGCAAACATTTCTTTTTATTCACTGTACGATTTCATTCTCGCTTATATTAAGATTTATTACTCAGCTGCAATACTGCGAGATACTTGGATCTACGTCATTTTATATTTATCAATCACTGACAAAGATTTGCTGCAAAATCCTATTTTTATATTTGCAGTACTAATGAAGAATGTATCTTCGCATAAGAGTCCAGATTCTTTTTTTTTTTTGCACAGAATTTAAGTAGAGTTTTTTTGCATAATTTATCGAGTGCTGCATACAATGATTGCACTTCGAAAAACGGCAATATCGAGAAAAGACAAGCTATATAGTATCTGTACAGCAGCACAAGTATTAAGGATTGAAATTGCCGCTACTCCACGATCGGGCGGTGACGAGGGTTTTTCGTCGAGAGAGGGGGAGGAGGGGGAGGGGGGGGGTAACGCGGAGGGTATTCGATATTTTCGACATTTCTGCCGACGTAATATCGCGCGCGCCGGCAAGCGGAACCGGAAACTAACTGGTAGGACGAAGCTGACGCAGGCTTCCGAGTCAGAGCGCCTGGACCATACCGAGCTGCTTTTGCTCACCGTTAGATGCGCGGCACAAGGTAAGTTTCTCCGCGGCGCGGCGACGGCGGAAACGCGCAGTCAGCGTGAATCTGCCCGGGGGCGTAAATCAGCGTTTCATCGACGAGTTCGAAAGCGAAAGCCGCATATCGATATCCGCGCGTAAATTATCCGCATCATTTTGCCCGACCGAGCGGAAAGTTGCAGCTTTCGGCGAGTCGCGAACGTGGATCGTATACGGGGGGGGGGAGGGAAAGAGCTGTGTGTAACTTCGCGATTACGGTTAAGTACTTATTTCAAGGAGAAGAGAGAAAACGCATGTTTTTAAAAACATCGAAAAAACTCGATTTTTTAGAAGAGCTTATAAAAGTCCCGAATTACGAACGCGTCGCTTTGGAAACGAATCGAATAAGTATAAAGGATATAAAGAGAAATTCAGTTATGACACGAAGTTTCTATGTAAAACAACAGAGATCTTCGCTGTTTATCTTCTCAATGTTGTTTTTACGCATTATAAGACTAATGAGATGATATAATTTTTATATTGAAAGACATGGAATTTTTTCATTTCGACATGCCCCGCATTATTAGATCTTCATATTCTAGAATGCAACTTTCGCGATTTACATTTTGCAGTCTCAAACGCTGCACGAAAAATTGTTTATGACGTGCAAAGGCTACGTCAGAGCTGGGGCATGAATTCCCACGAACATATTGATGCCCAGGGAATGAGGGGAATCTGAATCTTTTGAATATAGCAGCGAAGGGAGGGTAGGTTGTTGTGCGCGATAGCCAACTTGGGAGCGGCGAACTCGTTTCCGGATACGGCAAATTCCTCCACTGCGAAAAGGAGCGATAAAAATGCT